GGGGCGGGGGGCTTAATAAAGTCTTATTATTTAATAGGCTTTGCTATGTGGGCTTATTTTTTTCATACTAAGAAATAATAGCACCAACTAGTTTTAGTATAAAAATATTGAAAGTAAAGAAACCTTTTTTTTTTCGTCTTCCCCCATTGTGACGCCCCCTAGATGGACTGCGCCCTTAGCATGTGCTTATACTGCCTATGCCACGGGCCGGCACTGACGTTCAGTGTCAGATAGCTGTGGACACTGAAGCGCACACAGTTCCATTCAAGTCTTGCGTTATAAACACTGTCTTTCCTGAGGGCCTACTACTACTACAAGGACTCTGGGCGGAATTTAAACATTTCTCTACATGGAAATTAACATTTTTGATTTTATTGTGTGTGTGTGTGTGTGTGTTCTGCAGGGTGTCAACAGAGCTTCGTTACAGGAAGCAGCCATGGGGGCTTGTGAAGGGCTTCATTGAGAGGAACTTCTGGAGTGGCCTGGATGAGTACTTTAGACACTTAGGTTAGCACTACAGCACAGCAACGAACAAAATGTCTAACAAAAATCTTATTTTTATAAATGTTGGTTGATCTGACTTAGAGACTGAGGAAACCACGCTAGCTGTTTGGTTAGCAAACTAGCAAAATACCTTTTCATCTGCAGCAGTGTTCATTTTGGCAGCTATTTTAGATTTAGTCCTAGTCTTTAGATTAAAATGCTTTTTAGTTTTAGTCACATTTTGTCTTTTTATTTAGCCTAGATTAGGTGTATATTACCTACTGCTGATACTGTCATTGTCTCATAGAAGGGCCACTTCAAGTATGAGAAGAAAGCGCAATATTGAGAAAATATTACCATTATTAACATCATACTTAAAGAAAATGTACACAGCAGTTTGTATACATTTTAAATCATAATTTTATATCATCTTTGTTGTTCGCAGCTAAACAAAAAATAAAGGCCTAAATGTTTGTTCATATGCATTAGTGGTCACGTTTGACCTTTGCCATTATTTTGCACCAAATAAAAAAAGAATATTATTTTACCTGTATATGAAGGGGCAGTTAAATTGGTATGAAACAACAAGAAAAAATAGAATGATATATATGATATGATAATATTGCATGCTTTATTATATAATATTTTTCATGGGCTGGTGGGAGGGGTATAACACTGATCTGCATGAGACTTAATTAAAGTTGCAAGTCTTTTAGGATTTTCTCAAATTAAATCAAAAGTCATCAGATTCATGACTGGAGTCCACAACTCTGCTTATTTTTGAATTTCCAGAAAAGTGGTCATGTGACTGACTCTCACTGAAACCTACTAGCCCCCCAAACCTTCCATTCTTCTCTCTCTGGTTTCCTTCTGTCTAGAGCTGGAGCTGAATAAGTTGGATGTGGTGTTGGGGGAACCTCACAGACACTCACCAAAGACCAAAGCTCTGAGGGCAGGCACCAGCCGGAGGAGGAAACAGACACTGAGAACGCCGGGGAACATGGACGAGTGCTTGAGCCCCGTCACCACACCTGAGGATGAGGAGGACATCGGGTGCATCAAACTTGTGGCAGGTCAGCCCAGCAGCTCTGTGGTCAGTAAAATACTGTAGGACTGACGCCAAGCAACAACTTCTTCTTTTAGAAAACAGGACAGGGATTCATGGGAAATGAAATTTCCCTGTAACTTTGAGAATCTTTTTTTGAGATTCTGTCACAGTCCCTGCTTCCTGTTTCTTGTTCTCCTGTAGGTTCCACACAGACCAGACATGTACCCGATGCTCCAGGAGGCTTTGCACTTTACAGCTTCTCCAAACTGCTGCTTCTTATCAGCCTTGTGTGAGTTATGGCATTACTTGTATATTGTCATCACTCCCATTACGTACCCAAAACAGGAAACTGGCATCCTGACTCACCTTCAGACTCACCACAAGTACTTGTCTCCATTGATCGTGAAACCAAGCAGACTCGACATCCTGTGCTCTTACCACCAAGTTACTCAATACAATCTAAGCAGTTAGAGTACATAATCATTTTTTTTTTTTTTTCAGTTAATCAGTTAATTGTTTTGTCCATAACATTCTCATCAAAATTTCTCAGGTGTCTTTTTTTCTTAACCCCAAAAATATTCAGTTTGCTGTGATATTAAACTGAGAAACCAGCAAATCCTAACAATTGACAAGAGGGAAAAAGAGAATATTTGGCAGTTTTGCTTGATAAATGACTTCATTTAGTCATCTTAATGACTGTCTCATTATCTGATTTAGCAATTCCAACAATTGACTCTTCCTAAGTCCCACCCCTTTTTGCTCGGTCTTTTTGCTACTTCCTTAACTGTACTTATGCTCTGTGCTATGTTGAAAAGACAACCACATTTTGAAGATGGTATAAATATTAAGCAACACAGTCATACCTTAAGTTAGTTAGCAAAATGTAGCTAACTAACAATTTATGTAAATTAGCTAGCTAGTTAGCTATCATTTTGTGAACATTATCTTTCATATGTAACTAGTTAGCTTACGATTGGTTAGCTAGCATTTTGGTAACATTAGATAGCTAACTTAAGATGTGACTATAGGTATATGTCGCTTTTGTCTTTCAACATAGAGAGCCTAGCACATAGCATGTCTAAGTTGACCGAGGTTGAGGAAGTTCACCAAGGCTTGCTCAACTGTTACTGGAGCACACAGCAAAAAGGTTAGGGTTAGAAAAGATCAAGAAAGATAAACTCAATTCTTGACATTTCTTATCAGCACATGAAGTCAGGTGTTTTTGTTTTTATCATCTAACACAGTTTAATAGTTTTATATAGCAGAGAATATTTAAGGATGTGCATTTCTTTCTATCTTTGTTCTTTTGTTTTTGTGTTGTTGAAATCTTTTGTAATCTTATCTACATATTTTTCTCTGTTCTTGTCTTAAATTGCATACCAGGATCTGTATAAGGTATTTTCATTTTTGCCGTGGCCCTAATTCATGTCAGCAAATGTCAAAAGTGACTTAGTAGATGAGCCTCTGTTGTACACTTTTTCTTTTTCAGCCTGATACTGCTGGTGGTTCTCAACGTAATGTTGTTCTACAAGCTGTGGATGCTGGAATACACCACACAGAGTCTGACTGCATCGCATGGACTGAGACCACAAGAAGGGTAATGGCATGTTTGGACATTTGGAGAAAGGAATGAAGGTGTTGTTTGTGTGTATTGTTTGTCTGTTTGCTACAGATGATTGCAATAGATCATAAACCCCCCAAAAAAGAGCATAGTGACACTACACTTGATCAGACTGGGAGAAAACTGGGAGTTTGCTTGTAGCAGTGTAGATTGTCTAAAAAGCTTACAAAAGCTTACAAGTCCAAACAGAATAAACAGATAATATGATACAATCAATTTGTTTCCAAGGAAAACCTGCTCGGAACCAACTTTTCAGGTTCCGAACCAATTTATTTTTGGTGGAAATGCTCAGAACAGTTTAAACCTAGATGCTGAGTTGTTTCCATGTTGTTGGAAAAGACCTATAAGTGTGGGCTGTGGCTCAGAGGTAGAGAGGGTTGTCCACTAATCGGAAGGTTGGCGGTTCAATCCCCAGCTCCTCTCGCTGCATGTCAAGGTGTCCTTGAGCAAGACACTGAACCCCAAATTTCTCCTGCTGCTGTGCATGAATGATTAGTTACCTTTCATCAGTGTATGAATGTGCACAAAGGTGAGTATGGCACGTAGCGTACAGCACATTGAGTGGTGTACTAGAAAGACTAGAAAGGCGCTATATAAGTACAGTTTATTTACCTGTATTTTAATTACATCAATATGACTCTGTCTCATCAACAGAACTCCTCAGACCCAGCTGGAATGGGTACAGCTCATGGATTCCCAGCAGCGTTACCATGACGATGAGCTCCAGAAGTGGAAAGAGATAATCAAATCATCAGTGCTGCTGCTTGATAAGGTGAGGCGACACATCAAACACAGGTAATGCTTCCACGGGCTCGTACACAGCGAAACCCTTATTTATGTTAATTATTAAATTTCAGTTTTTCAGCTTTTTGTTCAAATGACTCTGCTTAAGACCTTTATGAAGGTGATAAAGAGCCATAAAATAATAAAAACTTTAACATCAGGAACGTCTCCTTCACAACGACAACATCCACTATTCAAAAGACGCAGGCAGTCGAGTGGTTTGATGAGCAAGAGAATAATGTAAACAGTGCTGCTGTAAGAGACAGCAGATCTCAGGGCAATAAACAGCACATCAAAAGGAAATCAGTTCTGCTAGGCGTCTTTTCCCTCCATCATAGCTCCACACACTAGAAACATTGTTTAGATACACTGAACTAGAGTCTGCTAGAGGTCCAGCCCTTCACTTTCAGAGTGTATACACAGGAGGGGCTTTGTCTGTCACACAAATCTCATGGAAAAGACACGTCTACAGTGACCGAGTGATAGCTTGTGTCCCACTCATGCTGTAGGCGTGTAACTGCGACCGAAAGCACATTTCTGTCTACTTTTGTCACTTTTACAAATGTAACTACAGTTACGTTTAGTAATTCAGTTTAGTTTAACAGTATATGACTAATTTTCTCTCCTGCCTTTTCATCCAGCTCAGAGAGTCCCTTCTCAACCTTCATAAAAGCATTGGCGTCAGGGACCACAATGAGTCAGAAAAAAGAAGAAATCAGTATTACTGATCCATAATCTCAAGGCATGAATACACAATGTGCAATATTCAGCATACATTTTTTGAGCCTGTGGAGAGAACGTAGCAGCGTTTGGAGTTCAGTCAGAGCTTTTCAGAAAAAGAACCCTGAACCTCAAGTGACTTCCCTAAACTGCAGTAGGTGAGAGAGTGCACTACCACACCACAGTGTGTCCTGCAGAGACTACATCATTTGCAGGACGTGTCTGTAGCTTTATGTCCGTCTCGTTCATCCACATTCCTCCTCTCCAAAGCCCAGTGACCCAAAGCATGATGCTTCTTCTAGCTTCTGATATTTTTCCAAGTGAAAATCCATATTGAAATTATATGCACATTCACTTTCAGACGTGCAAAAATACACATATTTTCTTTCCCTTCAAGGAGCTCTAGCAGCTGCTGTAGTACTTAGTTTTTTTACCTTTAGAACTAGGAAACAGACAGACACTGTAATAAATCCACAGTTTGCAGTATTTTAAGTTCATCAAGTTTGCCCAGCAGAAATATTAGGAATTGAAGTGTAACAGCATACATGTGTGGGTGTGTGTGAATGTGTGTGAGTGTGTGTGTGTGTGAGACAGAGAGTGTTTTTCAGACGTATTTGGCAGATCAGGGCTGGCTTCCCTGAGACCTTATGCCAGACTTTTGTGATTCTACATTGTATGTTTATGTTGTCTGCGACATAAAATGTTCTGAACTGTAGCTGCAGCGCTGCTCTGCAGGTTTGATTTACTGTTATGTTGATATGGAGATTTTGATTTGCAAGCAGAGAGAATGTATGGAAAGGAAAACAAGAGTGCTTCATTCAAAGTGGAACGGCTCCAGGTTTTCTAATGAGTTGCCAAGGGAATAAAGAAATGTTCTGTTCACAGCCGACCATTATGTCATTCCAGTGTTTTAGTGATTTACCACACACACATCTCACTGCTTAATCACTGCCAAGGACCTAATGTCAATAACGTTACCCTATTTTGAAATCCTTTTTAAGCCATTTCTGTGCATCAATTCATGTGTGACTGTCATGTATATATACTGTGGGCCAACAGTTCAGCCATAAAGTAGGCTAAATGTCAAATGCAGTGACATTAAATATGTGCTAGCTTTCTGCTCTGGTACTGTAGGATCTTTAAATCACTCATGTTCTTTGGTTTGATGTTACCAAATTTTGTCAGAGCTAGTCTGCCAGAGATAATCTCACTGGTTTGAGCTGGAGCTCAGTGGGCAGAGACAGAGAGCCACAGTTCATTAGAGTACAGGTTACAGTAGTTAAAAGGCAGCCTCAAAGAGAAAAACAAGTTGCTTAAAGTAAAAGAAAAGACACTGACTTCATGCTAATGGTATTCATTAGCTGGCATGGTCAACGACTAGCTCAGTGAGTCAGACATGATTCTGTCACATTTGTGGTGAATATACATCCTAGAGATTATAAGTAGTACGGTCTAGGATGTGAAAAGTGTCCTGAGAAAACTTTTGTTATCAATTTGCGCTATACAAATAAAATTGAATTGAAATTGAATTGAGACAACCAGTTGAAATGTTGGTTACTCGAAGCTGCAGTAGGTCATTTTTATAAAAATATTTTTATCATATTGGCTGAAACTTTCTCTATATCCTGACAGTAGTACATAAAACAGATAATCTGTGAAAATTGAAAATCAGGTTCCTCTGGCTCCTCCTAGTGCTCCTAATGGAATTTTCATTAAAATCCACCGGGCCTAAATGAAAACAATAAATCAGAGCCAAGAAAGCTAGCTAATTGTTAAGGCTCATTCCCAGGGAGTCAAACAGAGACGCTTTGGGATCCTAGGAATGAGCGCTTCCAGGGAGTTTGTTAAATCAGAGTAGTTTGATCAACTCTGAATATGTAAAATAATAAACCCTCACATTAAAAACAGCCATCAACAAAGGAGCTCCAATACTACAATTCACCATGGCAATGACTAAAAGGGCAGAGCGTGAGTGGAGCTAGAAATGCCAGGACATCACATACTGCACTGCCTTCCTATCTGAGTGCATAGCTAGCTTAATGCTGAGAAAACAGCACTGAAAATGTCCTTGTTAAAATGGATAGAAAGCACCAAAAGAATTTAGTTAATAGTATATGGTTAGGGTTCTGTTGTGGGTAGGGGGTCTGTTGATCACACTTGACTGAACTGTAAAAATCCTGTAATGCCATGTAAAGCCAAACTATTGAAATGTGTGACAAATGTTGAAATTTTAAACAAAATCGAGTGGAAAACATCTTGTAACATTGACGTTTTGGTGAGTTGTAATCTGAAACTACACCGCTAGATGCCACTGAATCCTACACACTGGACCTTTAAGTAAGCTGATGTTCGTTTACAGTATGAGTATTTTGTGTCTGAAATATGGTGAATTGCTGTTAAAAAAATGTTATTTATATTTATTTTAATACTGTAATAGAGAAGAAACCAGAAAGCCACATCTACAAAAGAACACAATTCTGAACACAATCAGCCCTGTTAAAGGCCTGACAAGTGGGACACCAACTGTGTTCAAAATAAATAATGTGGGCGCCTGGTTAGCTCACCTGGTTGAGCTGGTGACCATGTACCTAGTCCTTGCTGCAGTGGCCCAGGGTTTGAATCCGACCTGTGGGGCTTTTGTTTGGCAGAATATTTGTGCAATTAAATTTTTTCAATTAAATTTTATTTGTATAGCACCAATTCATAACAGAAGTTATCTCAGGAAACTTTT